AGAGGTTGGACTGGATGGCTCATGAGGTCTCTTCAACTGTATGATTCTATAATCTCTCTGAAGGGACTCAGGGCAGCTCACAAAAGCACTCAACAGTGCAAACATATAAAATACAACAGGTACATAAGCAAAATAACACAATAAGAATAACATTCACATAAACAAATTATATACAACATCATATAAATCCCCCTACCGACTTAAAAAATTCAATAAAACACAGCAGCGGCTGCGGATATAAAAATAAACTGTAATTAATATCAGTCCCGTAAAGTGCTAGAGTGAAACAAATCACAAGGTCCTTGAATATGGCAGATAAGATTCTAAACATGTTTGAAGGCCTGTTTAAAAAGCCCTGTTTTTAAATTTGTTCTGAAACCTTGAAGAGTGGGGGCTAGTCTAATTTCTTTAGGGAGGGCATTCCAGAGCCACAGGGCCACCACCAAAAAGGCCCTCTCTCTCATATCCACCAACTGCACTTGAGATAGGGGCAGGATCGAGAGAAAGGCCTCCGTGGCAGATCTCAGAGTCCATGCTGGTTCAAAGAAGGAGATCCAATCTTCAAGATAGGTTGGACCCAGGCATATAACCGGGGGGGGGGGGGGGGGGGGCTTGAGGGGCTTCACCCCCCCCCCCCGAAATTCTCATGGTGGTTCGCGAAAAGGCCTTACTGGTGCATCATTTAAACTGTTATGTTTATTCATATCATGATCTGATCACCATACTCAATATATCCCATATGCATGGGGGTATTGGGGTAATGATACAAAAGGTTTGCTAGGGTAGACCCTCTTTCACTCAGACTCAGCCCCCCCCCCGAAACTCAGCCCCCCCCCGAAACCCCCCCTGAAAAAAAATCAGCCCCCCCCCCCGAATCGAAATCCTGGCTACAGGCCTGGTTGGACCTGAAACATATAGGGCTTTATATGTAATGACCTGTACTTTTAATTGAGCCCAGAAACTTGTTGGCAGCCAGTAGAGCTGCTTTAATAGAAGTGTGGTATGCTACTGAACATATGTAACTTCACATGGGAAGTATGGATTTTGAAAATAGAGATTGGCAGCATCACATAGTATTCCAAAAGGCAGCTTTACGATTTGGAGACATCCCTTGGAAAAAGATAAAATCTTGAAACACATAAGGCACTGGTTCTCAACCTGTGGGTCCCCAGATGTTTCAGCCTTCAACTCCCAGAAATCCTAACAACTGGTAAACTGGCTGGGATTTCTGGGAGTTGTAGGCCTAAACACCTGGGGACCCACAGGTTGAGAACCACTGGCATGAGGTATACCATCATTTGTCATACCTATATCTCCTGATAGCAGTTATAGTTCTTTGGAAGCCTTTTCATTGCTTAGCAATAGCAGAAGCACGTGAGTTGCTTCCAGAAGTCAAGCACAGACTTTTTGTGGATTTGGTCACTTGCACCAGGGTTGTCTTTGCATTCAATCCCCTCTGGTTCTAGAATCATATGCAATCATTTTGAATCTCTTTAACTCAGTAAAATATGAGTAAAATATGATGTTGTTGTCCCTTTAGGCTGTTGATATACATGACAGCTTTTCAGCCAAAACATGTATTTTCATATCAGCTGGCATGTGTTTGTTTTCCTTCAGGAATCTGTTTTGGTAGAAACAGATATGTATAACCGTTCTAAAGTGACATTTATGTGCATCTTTTGATAAATAGAAGTGTGTCAATCAAAAATAGTACAGTCCTAGAGGCAATCCTAACACTGTTGCTTATGTATTGGCTTCATATACTAGGAAGCATGTAAATACATTTATGGACTGGACTTTTTAAAGATTCATACCCACAGTTTCAACTTAAAGAGGAAGCTTCTGATAATAATTCAGCCACAATTTCAAGATTCCCTGGTATCCATGTAGTTTGATATCCATCTTCTTCCTATGATTTGCTGAATACAAAACCAAACTCCAAACTTGCTGAAATTAAACCAAGGTCAAGTTTGTCAGATTCTTTGCCAACTGCTTCTTTCAAAGGGCAGATTGTTGGCTAATATTGATCCAGGTGGGTGTAAGGAAGGAGCAAACAATCATATCCTTTAAGGAGTATATAAAAAGTCAGTTTTGAAGGGATTACTCATATTTTCTAAAGGTTATCCCCAAAACACGTAAACTCAGTTAAGGAGTGATGGGGCTCAGATTAGGTGTTAAAGATGTATGCCCACATTACGCCTGTAAGCCTCCCACAGGCATCTGGTTGACCATTTGAAACAGAAGACTTGACTTCTGATTTAATTCAGCACTGATATAATGTTGTTCTTTTATCCTCAGAACTAGTGAAACAAAACAACTACCGGCACATGCTTTACTGCATTCAATGCCACTTCACTGCATGAATTTGTGGATGTGGCACCTAATAATACCTCATCACATGTCTTTCTTTTTTGTAAAAGGGAAAAAATGTAATTGTGTAAGAAGAAAATCAGCAATAGCAGAACTTGGGAAAGTTTTTTTTAAAAATTATGGCACCTGGAATCCCTTAGCTAGCATAACAATTGCCATGGTACCAGGGCAGTGGGATTGCAGATGTTGTGGTCTTTCCATGTTAAAGAGGAATTGCTGATGTATATCTTACTCCATCATCTTCCTACTGCATCCAGTGGAAGAAAAATATGGAAAGTGAAGTCATTAGCTATGGCATGGTTCCAAGGGCATCTCCTGGAATAGAACTGGTGGGGTATGGGTTGATGAAGTAGAGAAGTTTGCTGAATAGAGTGATACTAGTTATTGTGGGTTTTATTCTGGGTAGCTGAAGAGAATAAATAAAGTTCAGCACCTTGGATAGCTATTCTAAAGTTTGAACCAACCACCACTGCTTATTCATTGGTCCACTGGCAATATACATCAGTTCCCCCTGGTTTGAAATTTAACTTGTAGGCTCTTCTCTCTTTGTAGTACTACTGTACATTAAAGACCCTTTTCTATGTGATAAATAAATGATTGCTGTACTACTCTCATGTCCAGAGGGATTATGTTCTGTGACTTTGCATGAATATGTGAAACCATGGGTAATAATGGACCCTTCTGAATACCATTGTTGGGGGACCTAGAAAATACCTAGAAAAACACTCAAGTAGTGAAAACTGATAGATATGGTTGATTTTAATGCAGTTGTGTATTTACATATATGTGTGTGTGTGTGTGTATGTGTATGTGTGGTATAAATTTTGCTTTTTTGAGGCCCCGAGGCCCCTTCAGGGTGAGACGGACAGGGTACAAGTGTGGTAAATAAATAAATAAATAGTTATGTAGCACAGCCAGAGAGATAGTAGGGTGGTATCAGCAAGTATTACCATTTTAAAAATGTAAAACTTCTATTTTATATTAAAAAATTAAGGAGACACCCTCTCCACTCAAACATCCCAGAAACTCATTGAGGATGGAATATGTTCAGTAGCAACTAAAAGTAACATGTCATTTGTAAAACAAAAGCATAAAATTCATTTTGTAATAATAAGCAGTACGAGTGGCAGTATTTAATTCATATCCTGCCTTTCTACCAATAATAAAGGCAGCTAGCAATAGTACAAGTTAAAAGCAATGAACAATAAATAAAAGTAAAAGTTTAATTTTAAAATATAAACACTTTAGAAGTTTAAATATTAAACATACACTAAAATGCATTAAAATGACAAACATTTCAATATCAACATCATTTGGCACAGAAGAGCAATGGTGAAGGAGATGAAAAAGGGTGTAAACCAGGCATGGGCAAATGAGCTCTCCAGATATTTTGGACTTCAACTCTCTGAAATCTCAGCCAGCTTACCAGCTGTTAGGAGTTGTGGGAGTTGAAGTCCAAACTGAAGTTTGCCCATGCCTGGTGTAGGCTCAAAAGCATATGTTTGTAGGTGTTCCTTCACACATGGTTAGGAATAGTTACAGCAGGTTTTGGAAATCAAGAATCAGAACAGGTGGGTTTTGAGGAAGGATCTGAAGTCAAAGAGGAGTCACTGAACATTCAAGTGGTAACAGACTCTCCCTAGATTACATTTGACTTGAAAGATCTTACATAGCATCTACTCTAAAGCATGGGGTTGTCTTTGAAAACTGTTCTAAAGTTTCAAATGGTCCAACAGACAGCAGCCAGGTTGCTCATCAGAGTAGCGTACAGAGAGAAGGCATTCCTCCTGTCATTTCAGCTCCACTGGCTGCCAGTCTGCTACTGAGCACAATTCAAACTGCTGGCTTTAGCCTATAAATCCCTAAACTGTTCTGATCAAGCTTAGCTGTCCAAACATATCTCCTCTTGTGAACCACCTTGGAGATTAAGATCATCTGGGGAGGCCCTGTCTTGGGGACTGAAGAAGGCACCAGTCGTGCCTTCTTCGCAGGAACGACTGGTGGGGACAGGAGGCAGGGCCTTCTCAGTCATGGTCCCTCGGCTGTGGAACTCCCTCCCTAGTAATATTAGATCATCCTTCTCCCTCCTGACCTTCAGAAGGAAAGTGAAAATGTGGCTTTGGGATCAAGCCTTTGGAGAATAAGAGATATGGAATATATGCAATGACTATTGGAATGGCTCTGGATTACTATTGTGGATGGCATGGTTTTAATGATGAATGTAATGTTTTTAATGTTTTTAATATGCATTAATTTTAATTAAATATTTTGTTAAATTTAAATGCTCATTTGAATTATATGCTGTTTCAAGGCATTGAATAGTTGCCTATATGTAAAGCCGCCTTGAGTCCCCTTCAGGGTTGAGAAAGGTGGGGTATAAATAGGATAAATAAATAAATAAATAGCATTCAATTTTGTTGGGTTAAAAATTCTCACCTCACCTGAAACAGTGTCAAATATTGTGCTACACATTGAAGGGGGGCACCCCCCAAGAGCATGCATTTCTGATTATTATTATTATCATCATATATTTTAATTATTTGACCATTGTTGACAGTGCTACTTTTTCTTAAAGTTTTACTTGAAGTGGTGGAGTTTGTTAATGGTTTTCTGCCTTTGTCTCCAATTAGGCAGTGGACTTGGCTTCCAAACCATTTGCGGACAGCATTCTTATCCTGCGCAATGGGAGATGGAAAGACGTCCGAGGTCTCTTGACCCCAGCCTTCAGTACTCCTAGGATAAAAGAGGTAAGCTGCAAGAAGCAGGAGTTGCAATGCCATATATAAGAAGCTTTCTCTCTTTGCTGGATTCTTCCCCCAAGTGTGCCATGTTTAAATGACTGTGTAATTAATGACTGTCAGTCATCCCTTGTCAAACAGTTAATGCCTTACTGGTTTGTCTATGTAAAGTCATTGCTCCTTTGGGGAGAAAWTTTTTTCAGTATATCAGTCTGTTTAGCAGAGTGTGAGCTTTCTTTTGTCAGTGCTATTGCTAAAGGCATTTGATCACATCTGATCTTGCAAGCTAAGCAGGGTCTGCCCTGGTTAGTGCTTGAAGGGGGAGCCCCCCCCCCCCCCAATGAATACTAGGCGTTGTAGGAGGAAACTGACAAAACCACTTCTGAATATTTCTTGCCAAGAGAACCCTATGAAKATCATGGGAATGACAGGTGACTTGAAGTCACATACATACACATACCATCCCATTTAAATACTAACCAGGTCTGACCCTGCTTAGCTTCCAAGATAAAATGGGATCTAAGGTTATTAGATTGTTTGGACAACTGATTATTCCTGAAATAAGTTCTGTATGATAAAATATTTTTCACTGTGAGAGCAGCAATGTTTGGTCAGCATTCCTGAACTGCTTTTCTTTGATTTTAAGCACATATTCTATCTCTTTTCGATTTTTGTCTGGCTGTTGTCAGAAGTCCATGTCATAATGTCATGCTGAAGTCCTATTTTTTTCCAAACACTGAAGAACTGTGAGTTTTCCCCCCTCAGTGGCTTAACAATTTCTCAATTTTTAAAAGATTTAGTACGACATATTCAGAATGACTATACTTCCTCAAGATCTCAAACACAAAGAGGTTTTTTTCCCTATCATCTGCTATATTATCCATTTAATAGGAGATTCCAGGCCTACTGTTGGAGCAAAGATCTTACGTACCTAAAGCTTTTGTGCTACAACTGAGCAGTTGTCTTTCCTATAAAATACTGACATTGACCCTAGTAAAGCTACTCTATTGTTAAACTTCAAAGACATTTATTTAAATAATGCTGTATGAATCTCAAGGATGTAAATATACAAGTCTGCTGACTGTTTATACAGCAAACCTCACTTCCTTGTTACTTCTGACAGAGCTATCCAAAGAAATAACATAAATCTGGCAATTCATAGATACATTTGTGTATTTGTATGTGTGCGCATGAGTGTGTACACACACACACACACACACACGTACATATTCTGTAGGAGGTCTGTGAGTGAAATTATTAAGTGTAGGGTGCCAGGAGTGTTTTTGTGTGTGCAATTTTGTTACACAGAATTGTTGCAGCATAACTGGGAAAACCTCAAAGTACGTTTTTTTTAAATTTTTCACTTCTTTTGTACACAAAACTTAGGAAGGCAAGGAAGTGTGGTCTTCCAAGACTGCCTGGAGTTGGAAGGCAACTGTCTTCTCAATCACCCTACCCAAAAAATGAAGGTTAGCCATTGGTCTGTAGTTGCTAAGGTACAGGGGATGATATGTTCGAACTCCAAACTTTTGAATGCAGTGTCCAAATGCTGTTATTATTCTTAAGTTGGGCTGCTGCTTACACTCCTTTAAAAATAAATGCACGTCCTCGTATATGAACACATTTAGCAGAACAATAAAATCCTCACGATAGATAGATTTATCTCTAAAAGCAGCCATTTCTGTTGCCTGCCACAAAAGTAAGATGAAGTGCTAGCACCAGAGCTTGACAAATATTCTTTTTGCTTACTATCACTCCCAGAATCACCCACCCAACATGGGTGTTGGAAAAATAACTTTTCCAATCTTGCTCTCACATGAGGGATTCAGTTACTGAAGCATGTAAGCCGATCTTTCACTTTCCAGCTGTGGTGGGGTACATAATTGTCTAACCATATGATGATAGGGCTCCATCTGATAGAAAACAATGTGCAGTTTCAATCTATCACAACAGTTCAGGAATATTGACTTAAATCCAATTCTTAATCCAAATTAAAGTAGACCTTAATCAGGTTACCACTGATTCTGATGATCTATTCTAGTAAAGACTAGCACTTGGATTTAAGTTGCTGATCTTGCAGTTTTGTTGGCTTAATACCTATTTCATTTAATCACATTGATGATCAGCTTCTTGTAATAGGAAATAATGACAACAATGGTGTTATCTTCTGGGCAGTGATGGGGTGAAATAGATTTGATTTTAATGACTTTATTCTTTAATATTGTTTTTAGTGACTTTTTGGTTAACTTCAGTGATTTGTCTAGAAGCAGAAAAGTGGGTTAAAATGTAATAATAGAAATACATATCTATGTGGAAATGGCATAAGTCGACAAGCAATTTCAAGGACCCATATATATTTTTGGCTTCCCCCCCCCCCTCCCCATTAAACTGCCCTTGACAGCCACAGACAGAAATAACTTTGCTCTTTTCCAAACAGATTATGGTGGAATTGATCTCTTTTAGCTACGGTGAGAAGAAAAGTCTAGCATTATTGTGTATGTGTATATGGCCATTGATTCCTCTTCTCTATTTTAATAGCAGTAAGTCATGGACATATAATAGAGTTGCGAGACAAATTCTTCATGCTGGACAGGAGTTGTCTCAGCACTGACCCGCTCTTGATTTCTGTATACATTTTTCAAACAGTGGGAGATTCATTTTTTGCTGCGACAAACTTCCATCCCACTGATGCTCTGGCTCTTAATGAAAAACCTGTGGTGACGTCTCGATTGGTTAAAATTAATCTCAGAAGGGGAAACTAGTCCTTCTTTCTGTGCTTTAAAAATAATTCTGTGCTTAGAAAAGCAGCTAGATTCCTCTCTCCAGTTTTGGTTGTTAGGTTATAAAAAAATGTCCACTGGGCAGCGGAAACCCTGTGTTGCTTGGATGTGCTGCTGCCGAAATCCACAGTAGCATCTAAATGTGTCTGGCTCCTTTAGCTCTATAGACAGCTGTTGCTTAGCAACACCAGCTGTCACCTCCTTATTATGGAAAATTCTAATTGGCCATAAGCCCAGCAAGGACCTCTGATTAATCAGAACCGACAATGCCATTGGTTATGCAGCGAGACAAGTGACTCTGTCCTAGGAGTGATAGCAAATTTCATAAAAACCTGAGGATTTTAAGAGAGGGAGGGAAATGCAATAAATTCAAATGCTTGTTCAGTAATTGGGGTGTTTTAGGGGAAGGGAGATAAAGAATGAGAGAGTTTTGCATTGCTTCGACAGAAATTAATCTTCCTTACCATGGGTCATCTGCACAGGGCAAATCCTTGCCTTCAGGTTTTTCCTCCAGTTCAGTCTCACAAAAGATAAAGCCCCCTGGTATGTATAGAGCAGCCCCTGCTGGCATGAGCCAGACATATTTCAGTGACACAAATGGCTCCTGGACCTTGTGCTTTGCAGGGATGTCTGTCTGTGTTTATTGTGTTAATTATTTAAGGGGGAAAGAGAAGGCACCCTGTTGCGTCTTACCCTGCGCAGCAGCGAGGAGGAAGCAGCACCAACCGCTCGGGAGGAAAGAGAGGCAGCGATGGCAAACTGTTGCTTATCAATTTGAAAAAGACAACTATGGAAAAAAAGATTTTTTTTCTTGGCATCTAAAAAACAAACACATTTATTACAATGCAAGCTTTTGTGTATTGAAAATCCGCTTTATCAGATGTAACACAAAGACTCTGGCAGAAATATATGAATGCATCACGAAGCAGCTCCTTGTTGTTTTTCCTATCACAGGCTCAACACAGTTACCTTTCTGGAAGTTGCATAATTCTAGTTATAGTAACAGTTCAATCCATAGCTCTCTGTTTAAATTTATAGAGCAGATTTTTGGGTGCCATAGAGAGAAGAGAAGCAGTTCTTGACCTTATTGGTACTGGATTTAGATTCATTAGTAGTCATGTGCATTTGGGACTTAACTTGATCCATTTTGTGCCCTAGCTTTCTGTGAGGCCCCCGATCCCTTTTCGTCTGAGCCTCCCAAAATTGGGAGGTCAGATTTTTTTCCCCCATTTTTGGGACTGGAAGATCTGTTTTCTTTTGGCCCATTATTTGGGGGGAAACTTCGCCATAGGCCCAAAGCACCTGGGCACTTTGAGCCTATGAGTGCAAGCTTTGGGACTACACACCCGGGCCTGGCAGGACCTGCAGCTGTGCACTGAGTAAGGAGCACTCCTTACTCGGTGCTTGGCCGCAGTCCCTGCCAGGCCCCATGCAATTGATCTGAAAAGCAGGCCTGTCCGCCTTTTGTATCAATTGCATTTTCATTTCAGAAGGGGCCTTTCCATTTTGTGCCATCCGAATGGACAGAACAAAATGGAAGCATGAGTGAAGTGAATGGGACAAATTTCAGGCCCATGACTATTCATTAGATTCTGATCCATTAAAGTTCATGTTCTCAATATATTTGTTCTCCTTTAGAACTGATGCAAAAAACTTCCCTTCATTGGTTGTAGCAAACCAAGACAGCAAAGTTTTCTTCTGGAAATGATATCCTTTCCTCTCTTGACTTATTTTTTTCTATTTATTTCTTTCCATTCCTTTTTTGTGACAGTAATAAGTCTTTGCTTATCTCTCTGTATTTCATGCATTATCTATATTTAGAATGTTGACAGGAAACTAGTCTAGCAAAGGGGTTTCCCCCCTTTATAGAGCTCAAAATATGACGGGAGAATGGGATGCAAAGCAGAGCCAATCCAATACTCTTGTATCCTTCTTCCTTTTTTTTCTCTTTGGAGAAAAGTGTCGTTTTCAGAAGAGAAAGTTCCTAGAAGTTGTTTTTACCGAATATAGCAACAATATATGCTTCAGTATCAAACACCAGCAGAAACTATTCTGAAACATTTTCTACAGCATTTTTTCATCTCCCCCAACTTTTTTCTATTTTTAAAGCAATTTAAAATAATGTTTAATTCAGGCAGTTCTCAACTTACAAACATCCAACTTGCAAACGACTCATAGTTAAGAATGGGGGTGAGACAACAGGAAGTGAAAGAAATCCTCCCCTAGAAT